TGCCAAAACTTGTTTTAGCGAACCCAAATCAATCTGGAAGCAGATAGCATGAAAAGTATTTATTCTTATATATGCTTATAATTATTTTCTATAAAAATATTATTAGTGTGAAAGAAATCCCTATTATTAGTTTGAAAGAAGTCCCTATTATTAGTGTGAAAGAAGTCCCTATTATTAGTGTGAAAGAAATCCCTATTATTAGTGTGAAAGAAATCCCTATTATTAGTGTGAAAGAAGTCCCTATTATTAGTGTGAAAGAAGCTCCTATTATTGGTCTGAAGGAATTTAGTATTTTTTGTCTGAATTTCTGTGATAAGTTATACGTTATGTGCACTATTTGTATTCAGACTATTGTCCTCATCTTTGCGGTTTTTATCACAACGTTTCGGCAGTTGTACCCTCCGGCCTTCTTCAGGTGTATAACGATTTGGGTAATCTACAAGGAATTGCGAACTGATAACATTACAATAAAAACAACAGAGACGAGGAAATAGTCCGGACATAAATAATGTAAATATTAATATTATTAATTTAAAAGTACAGTGTAACCCGGATATAAGAGACCCGGATATAAGAGACCCGGATATAAGAGAGATTTTCTCTGGTCCCAAATTAGAGCCTGTGTTAATGTATATAAAATAGACCAAACCCGGATATAAGAGAAACCCAGATATAGGAGACTTCTTCTCCGGTCCCGACAACTCTCTTATATCCGGGTTACACCGTAGTTCTTATTATTAGTCTGAAAGAAATTCCTACAAAACGAAATGGGTTTTGTCATTCAGTTACCCGCACTTGATAGAGAAAATTCATAAAGCAATATTCTGCTTTTCACTCCACAGCGTCAGCCGAATTTTTATTTAAAAATCAGCTTTAATTAATCTGAATTTTTAAAGAGAAGTTTATCATTGAAAGTACCAATTTTATTTTTTCTGGGTAGTTAGTTATTTGTTTTTCGAGTTTAGAAAAAGTCACGTTAGCCATAGAGGACAAAATATCAGCGTCATAAAAGTTAAATACTTTTTTCAGGAAGGAATTTTCAAAATCCAGAATTTCGGTTAAAGGACTGTAAGTGTGTGTATGTCTGTCTTTGTGTGTATCTGTGTGTTATAGCTTCTCTCAATGTTACCCCTTGATGAGAGTTTTTGGACATTCCAAATACATTACCTTGTACTTGTCCTAAAACACAATCTCAATAGAAAAAAAAACATTTAAATAATACAATCTATTCTTCTATCAGATCTTCTAGATTATTGCAGTCCTTCTTCTCAAAGAACAAAATATCACGTCATGCTAAGATTTGTCTTAGGGTAAATCAATAAAATGATCTCTAATTCGAGGAACAAAACCATTTTCCTGTTTAAATAATAACTTAATAATAATATAATAGCGTGTTGTTTCCATTCGTGCTCACCCCGATAATAATGATTCCATTTTTTGTTTGCTACAAAATATACCTTGAAAAATGAAAAAGCTGCTAATTGATGTGTAGAATATTTTAGAAAATATTTGTATTTTATTTTTTATATAGAAATACATTTTATAAAGTAAAAAATCATTCGCACCTCCTACCTCAATGATTTGTACAAAATTTATTTATCTTTTCGTTTCATCTTTCCCCTTCCATCAAAAGGATTAGTAATAATACTGTTGTGTTCTCGTTCGTGCTCACCCCGGTAATAATGATTCGATTTTGTATGTATGATACAATAGATGCATGTAAAGAGGAAAATAAAAATAAATGTAATGGCTGCATAAAATTATGATACCCGTAATAAACGAATACTTCTATCTTGAAAAATCTTATATGTGGTGTTCTTGTACTAAGTATTATCGTTTATTACCAACCTTCGTTTGATTATTCTTTTCAGTAACCTTCCCTAGGTTACAACAGAAACAAATATAAATTCTTTTATAGAAACGTTTTTTTATAAAATAAAGAATCTTTATTTAACGGGTATCATAACTTTATGTATACTTTATTAATCGTCACTTCTTCAGTCATAAAAAACCCAACATTCCCTATCAAGTGTTTTAAGATAAACCTTTCCAAAACAGAAAATACGATCTGGAATTAGAACAAAAGCTTTGATGGCACATACTCTGAATCTATCATAAAAATTCAGAAATTAATAAATACTAAACGATTGAAATACTTTGGTGCATGGTTCAGTTATATCAGATTTAAAATTTCTGGCGGAGTGAATGACGTCATGGTGCTCTTTTTCTGACAGACGCTGCCTATCTCGCCCTACTATAATGTGCAGTCGACAAAATCAGAAACAAACAAAGCGCATGCGCGAAATTAACAATAAAAATGACAATAATTTACCAATCGCTACCTGTATTTATAGTAAAATAACCAATACATTTTTAAAGGAAAATGACCAACAATACATTTGCGTTCAAAATATATTTAGTTGAAACCATAAAATTGTATTTAGATTATTTTGATTTCGGTATTAAATAACCAATAGAGATGTTGATATGCCACTAAATAAAATCAGTCAAAAACAAACCAATCGTTTGCTCGATATTACTTTTGCCATTTTTTTTTCATTCTCTTCTTATTTTTTATTGCAAATTTTGTCAGTTCTGTTTGTTGTGCATTTCGGCCAATTACATTTGGCAATGACCAACTTGAATTCCAATCGAATCCATTACATTCACTTTCGTGCTAATACCATTGGGAAAGATACGAATCCTCTTCTTCTTCCCCGCCCAAATATGGGTAAATAGCAGGACAGACCGATTTCTCTAGCCTTGGATGGCAACTGGTCTACCCCAGAAAGAAATGGCCACCTAATGCGGGAAATAATCTGCCTCGTCAGTCATGTATCGAAGTATACATGATCGCCTAAGCGTGTATCACGCATGGCACATAACTGATTGAATGGCCAATTACTCTACATTTGCAATGATTGGCTGCTACTTATTAGGAAGTTCTTCAATATCTTTTGAATAAAATTCCTCATGTTTAGATGTTGTTATAGTGGAACACACCTATTCTATGATTAATAGACTCTCCCACCTATAATAAGTAGGAGTAGTAAGAATAACAAGGGAGTCGCTCAGTGGGTCAGTCAGTCGATGCCGGACGACCGTTAGTATCAGCGATCACCACTATATTTCTCTGCATCATTACCTATTATATCAAGTTCCTAACGTTTTGTACGTCGAACCTATTTTAGGACCGACTTAGTACAAATACAAGCCTCGACTGTGAAACCACTCCATAACAGATGTGAAAAAAGATTTCAACGAAAACTTTAATCTAGTTTTCTTCTTCTCTTTTTATGTGCCGTATCTCTTCAGGGCGTTGCCTATCATGAGTCTCCACAGTTTCATGCCTTTTGTAGTTCTTTTAAATTTTGTATTTTCAAGTTCTTTCCTAATCCCTATTCTACCATTTACAGAACCTCGTCAGTTTGGTTATACTCTGCTTTCCTCTGTCCCACTTGTCTTCACTATGTTCTGAGAGTTTCAAATTTTATAAGGCCTCTTTCCTCAATATGTACCCTTAAAAATTTCAACTGTAACTTTCTGATGTTATGCATAAGCATATTTTCATGTAAACTTCCTCCAAGGTCACATGTTCCGTCCATGCTATCCTCAGCGTCCTTCTGTAGGACATTTCTTTAGCGTTGAGTCTCTTCTTCATTTATGTGGAGATTGTCCAGAGTTTGAAGAGACTTGATGTAACAGATTTTTTTTCAGAATCGAAAGAGGTAACAATCGGTTGGCGCAAGATCAGAAGAATACAGAGGTTCTGGCAGAATAGACCCACTTTTTAAGAAAGCACTTCCTTTGTTATTTTTGGCGTACGAGGCCTTGCATTGTCATGGTGCAAAACAATATTGTTCCTTTAATCTTCTGTGTACGCTGCCAATACCGTGTAAAAAGTAAAACATGTTAATGTACTTCAAATTTATTATTAACGGCGGCGTATGATTAGTACTTAAGAATATATATTCTTCATTTCAACTGGCTCTCCCAAAACGGTAATTCCATGACTTAACTTCATGTTAAGAAAACGTGTTCCAATAAGTTGGACCGACTTTAAATGTGAATTAAGTTTAAACGTCTAATGATTGTTTTTCTTTTTCTTTCAGATTTGGCGAACATTTAGGCGATATTATTTTTCACACACAATTGCCATGACTTAAATAACATGATCCATAGAGAAATAAATAAACTTTCACCAATAACACTGATTTATTTACTACTGACTTTGATCCGTCTTAATGAAACACCTTTATATATAATCGGTCTTAATGAAACACCCTTTAGTAATGAAAATATTAGCCGTTTCCCTACAAGGAAACATTTGGTATTCATTGATCGACCAGCCAGTATTATTTTCAGTTGAAATTTATAAAATCATTCTCTTAAAAAATATTTCAGGAAAATAGTTTTCTCCAGTCCAGTAGCTGTTATCGCTCTTTGCACTACTGATGGGGGTTTCCTTCCTAACCTTTTGTTTGAAGTAGTGTCGAATTTCAATATATCCATTATGTCATTATTTTCTATTCGAGTTACATGTGCTATCCATTTTAGTCGTTGGTAATCCTGAAGTGATGTGGTTTCTGTTATTTGGTACAGTGATTATGTAGCGCCAGTCCACAATGTTCAACGAAGGATGGTTTTTGTCAAGACCCTCAGGCTTCTCTCGCTTAAAGCTATTTTTAACAATTGATCTCAGAAATCGTTTATGTATTGTTGACGGTTTAGATATTTCTGAATTGGTTTGGTACCATGAATGTTATCCATTTGAAATTCTCGATCAAACAAGGCTATTTAATAATATGAGCCGAATTTTCAGGTTGAGGTTTTCGTTTTGTAGCAACTTGTGGTATTGGGCAAAGCTATCACTAGCGCAGCCTATTCTATGTTCAGTTTCCTTTCCTTTTATTATTTCTCCTATACTAAATTTGTTATTTTTAACTCTGAGTTTAAAGAAGAGATTGTCTTCCGCTATACAATATTTTAAAAAAACTCACCTTTTGCGCGTGACGAATGTGTTAATGGCTGAAAAGGATACACTTGGAATCATGGAGCAGATGGTGACGTAACTCATAAAATTATCATGATAATGCTTTATCATGACATCTGTCCCATTTGTGGTCGCCAGTTTGTAGTCTTGGAAATACTAGACACAAAGAAAGTAGTAGAATAAAATTAATATTCTTCAATTAAAAATCATCTGTAAAGGACAGAAATGACGTCAATAAATGAGTTCTTTTTTTCTAATAATTCAACTCGAGCAATTATAATACAATGAGAAATTAAATATGGTTGAAAAAGATTAGCTTTTCTTACCGATTGAGCATTGATGAACATATTCCATGGCATCAGCGTTGCTAACCCTTGAATAATTAGAATAATCCGAAGTGCATGCCATCTGTAACGGAGGGAAATGATGTCCATATAAAAATCACAAAAGAACACACGAATATGTGATAGAAATTATTAGGAGGATTTGATAATTATAATTAAGCAATTCATCGAGTCTGAAAGAAACCTCAAAAGAATGCAGGAAGCACTAGACGATCGTTTCGGCCTATATTTGGGACTCATCAGCAGTGCGCATCCACTACCGAGAATTGAAACCCTGACAGGTTATCATGTAAACGCCATACCAACTGTTCCATCAGGCCTCGGCGACAAAGAGGTAGCAAATCAGAGTCAATATCGCGCCGTTCGCTCACATATTCCGTGGGGTAACTCAACTGAGTTTCTCTATAATCATAGGACTGTGCCCCCAGGAGCCACGACTACTATCACCAAGCCGCTCAAACTTGAGCATTAGAAGCCGGTTCAAGTGATAGGAATTATTAGGAGGATTTGATAATTATAATTAAGTAATTCATCGAGTCTGAAAGACATAGGACGAAACGGCCGTCCAGTGCTTTCTGCATTCTGTTGAGGTTTCTTTCAGACTCGATGAATTACTTAATTATATATATATATATATATATATATATATATATATATATATATATATATATATATTCTGTTTATATGTTATTCTACTAGACACATTTTAAGCAAATGGTCTTTTTTTAAATAAACAGTTTGAATTACATTTACTGGCCTGAATGTTTCGAAATTTCTCTAACATTCAAACCGATAAATCTATTTAATACTATTTATTTAAAAAACATGGCATTTACTTTAAAAAAAAATCGTATCTATTAAAATAACGTATAAACAGAATATATATATATATATATATATATATATATATATATATATATATATATAATTTTTTTTGGGAATCTGATTTTGGATTCCAAAAATTTCGCTTGAAGATGGAACAGAGCTTAGTACTTTAATTCAAATAATTATATATATATATATATATATATATATATATATATATATATTATTACATCAAACGTTATTTCAGTGGATCTTAGTGGTATTTCATTACCTGCTATCTTTTGCCTTTACAAGAGTCAAATCAGGTCAAAAATGGAGTATTGCTGCCGTATCTGGGCCGGAACTGTCAAGTCTCCGCTTGCCTCTGTCTTGATAATGGCGTCTACGTGGCTTGCGGGTGATGAATTATTTTCCACGCTACAATCTCTTTACCACAGATTAAACGTTGCCGGCCTCTAGCTGCTCTATTGCTATTTATGTGTTGTGTGTTCAGGCGAGCTACATTCATTAGTCACACTATATCTGACCTATACAACTGGGACCCACCGTGCCGCGTACATAAGGGTGAATCATCCCCATTCTCTTCGTATTCCTAAATAAGTTCTATTCGGACTAATTCTTTCTAAGAACTAAAGCTTTCTGGAACAGACCCCCGACGGGATGTTTTCCCATTCATATAAGATTTTGACCTATCTTGGTCTAGGTTCAACCATTATCTTTCCTGTACGACCTCATGAACATCACTTCTTACCCTTTCTTATGCTAATATAAGATCACAGAATAATCCAAAATCTTGAATGCTTCTTCGGCCTTTTATTGGGTGTTAGTATAAATAAATGATATTAGTATATAAAAAAAGATGCTCCGTTTTATTTTAAAAAGTATTTAGTTCGCCTACCGGATAGCACATTTGAGAAAACTTATTAAAGAAAGTGTTACTTCCAGCAGGATTCGAAATTATGTCCCACTTTAGAGAAGAAACCACCACTTGACCCGCGTGATTTAACTCTTCAGCTTGGAAGAGATTCACAATTAAGCAAAGTACTATTTGTCTTTAAAGTATACTTACTTGTTCAGATTCTCTCGAAAGGTAGATCTGCTTAGTTTTAGTTTCATAACGTAAACAAATTTGTAAGGAATTAATGGATTTTTTATTTTATATTTTTAGTGGATTCTTATATTCAAAAAGTATTTATTTCTTCTACCGGCTCTATACGCACACACTCACACACACGTACAGACACACACACACACACACACACACACACATATGTATATATATACTAGCAGCATGGCCCGGCGTTGCCCGTGCTTGATTAAAAAATCGTACGACTCATACAGCAATCGCTATTACTTGACTTAAAATATTTTTGCCCTTCCTTGCCTTTAAAGGAGTGACCTTTGCCTAGCTGATGTTGCTACATGCCTTACTTCTTGCCTATCTCACACTGCGAATTTTTTCTAAGCTCTATACTAAACATTAAATCTGTTACGAAAAAAGAACTAAACAAAATGAACACAAAACGATCAGCTTTAAAAAAAAAAAGGACTCGTAACTGGAAAAACCAAATGAAAAAAGAATGTTAACAACAAATACTTTTTCACACCCAACCCAGTTCTGCGGAATCAGAATCAACGTTGAGTTTAAGCAAGCGAATGAACCAATTGGAGTAAAGTGCCATGCAGATTCAAATTTTTCCCACTTGTGACGAATGCAGCTATCGATTTTTTTTGTATGCTAGCATGCTAGTTAACATTCGTGTCAGTCAGCTGTTGGCTCTCACGCTGGTCAATAGAATTTTCCTGCCTATTCGTGGCAGCCAGCTATAGGCTCTCACTCTGGTCAGTACAAACTACATGAAAACTGCCGTAGAAGCATGAAAAAATCGATTATTTCCACTATGGATGGGAGTTAGGGAATGCAACGTCGATCTTGGACTTACCACTAACTTGGAGCATGTGCATGTAAATTTTGGTGCAAATCTATCGAAAATTGCGGCCGTGCATTCGTTACACACACACACACACACACACACACACACACACACACACATCCTGCCTTTTATAGATAGAGATACATGCACGATTCATTAAAAACAATTGACATTTTTTTATAATAAATAATTACTTATATTATTTACATTTACAGTATAAATGTGATATCTTGTAATATTTTAATTTATCTAACCCTGATGAGCGTTGTGTATGCGAAATCTCTGAAGTCCGTCGAAAGTTAAATCAGTTGAACCTTACTTTATTTTATATAAGAATTCACCATACAAAACCAACATCCTTGATAATGCCGATAGAACTAGCCGAAAATTTTCGGAACAATTATAACTATAAACAATTCCTTTATTCTTTAACCTCGGAAAAGCGAAAAGAATGCTGGAAAAACTCAATAAAAGATTAATTAAATCTTGTTTTCAATGAAACATGAAAGACAATAATGAACTGACACGCTGAGATACGCTGCTTTAAAAAGAACTTTAAACATTCTTTTTTATAATTTTCTTTTTGAATTCTATCGACCAACACTTCTTCAGGAGGAATCGTTGGCTTGACTTTGGACGATACAGAAAGTGATATTTATTAGAACTCAATAGTAGAAAGCGAAAGGAAACATAATTACGAAACACGACTAAAGCAATACTAAAATAATTACTGAATAAAATATAACAATTCCAGTGAGTATAAAAAAAGAAAAGTTTTTACTCACGCCCTCTAAATAACCTGAGTATGTTGGTGAATTGCTCTTTTGTTTGCACAGGCTCGGTTGGTGTATTTTAATATACACTGCTTCTAGAATGTTCAAATGAAGAGCAGAAAGACCTCTAAGAAAGATAGAAAAACAGTCATCAGTATACTGATGTAAGCAGTCAGGATAATCTAAAAGTTGCTGACCAATTGCTGAGTCATGCTTGGGTCGTCCAAAAAATCGACTAGAGTTACCTACTCTTATACTAGCAGGAATGTGCTGATCGATACGAGTCACCAATTTCTAAATGGTCCGTCCTATGTATGCAGCGTCATACTGACATTTAAAATTGTATATTATGGAACTACTTTGAAAATAGGATAGACTTTCCTTAACGAAAGGGGGAACACAAACCAGTCTCAAAAATGGCATGTAACTTAACTTCATAGTCGAAAAAACTTGATGTAATATATATATATATATATATATATATATATATATATATATATATATATATATATATATATATATATATATATATATATATATAATATATATATATATATATATATATATATATATATATATATATATGATTAGCAGCATATCAATATTTCAAGTAAAAAAACTAAATATTTTGTACGCAAGGTTTTGGCTTCAGCTACATGATTCAAAATCATTTTTATGCCTTCAACCACTGATATTTTTACGTTTATTTTATAATCTATACTTTCAGTGTAAACGTAAGTTTTTAGATATACAGTTTGTAGATGATAAAATGTATCGTTGACAATGTTTTAATAAAAAAAATGTACTGCTGGTAGTTTTATTATAAAAATGAATCTATATTTTCCTCGTGTTTTGATTTCTGTCTGAAGACTTCACTATTTGTCCTTAGCTGGAACCCTAACAGATGCTAGCAATCTGGGTCAAAGTGAACCTAGGAAGAACAGCAATTAAGAGGTGGTTGCACGCAACTCAAAACTTCCAATCTCCCGATTAGAGACATTACTGCCGGATGTATATCGTCATACCCTGGACTGATCCCGGCCGAGAGATATATTTTCTTTAATAATTACCTAAGCCAGTAGACGCAAATTTCATATTTTAAAAAACAGGGACGTCTATTCAAACGTGTGCATCCACTAAATATATCGTTTATAGTAACTATATAGATATTCATATATTAAAAAAGCTTTTCCTAAAAAATCTGAAGAACAAGTTACTTGAATTTTCTTGTTATATATTCGGAATACATACTTGTCTTTCGGAGGTTCTGTTTTCAGTACTTCGCCCTCAACTTTGATCGGTATAGGCGGTACGTCAACGACATCTGCAATCCAAAATTAAATTTTAATCAACCAAGCAAAAGTTAGAATAAATTTCTTCACAAGATTCAATTCTAATCAGCAACATGTTATATATATATATATATATATATATATATATATGAAGAAAGATATACTGAAAAAAATGTCCATCGTCTTTTTCATGTTGAATTGTATATGGTCTATGTTAATTATGTTTTATGAATATGTCCTGAAGATGGTCTATTAGACCGAAACGTCCGACGTTGACATTAAACATTAAAACAGCATAATCGCATATTAGGATTTTTGTTTGTTTTTTTTTGTTTTTTTTTTTTCAGTATATTTTTCTTCATACTGTCGGATCTATATCCATATATTTGCTTACACACACACACACACATATATATATATAAGAAAGTGATATATACTATTTACATTATTCGGACTATTGTCCTCATCTTTGTTGCCATATTTATCACAACGTTTCGGCCGTTGTACGCACCGGCCTTCTTCAGGTGGTTGAAATGTCGAACTGAACCCGTAATTTCGCTCGCTGGTGTAAACTGTTCTAGTTCCAACTTGATCCCACAGAGGGCGGTGATCTCTCTTTTCTCTCCATATGTGGTCAGCCACGCCTGATTTTTCCACTTCACCTCGTGTTACAGCTTTTTGGTGTTCTTGAAGCCTTACCTTAAAGGGGCGGCCTGTCTCCCGTTTATATTGTATCCAACGCCTTTATCCACTGTGCTATGTGTCCTTAAGGATATCTGTGTATGAATTTCTGGGACTTATAAACGTCTTCTGCTTAATGTCTTCAGTTTAACAAAAGAATTAACAGGAGATAACTGATAACGGACATCTATTAGACATGGCACGTGGAAATAGAACAGTCTACACCTGCAAGCGAAATAAAGAGTTTATTTCGACATTCCAACCACCTGAAGAAGACCGGAGCATACAACGGCCGAAACGTTATGATAAATATGGCAACAAAGATGAGGACAATAGTCCGAATGATGTAAATAGTGTACATAATACCTCATCTCAGAAATATAGATAGATACAGATAGTGATATATACTCCGGAAAAGCAATCAAAATCGCTAGACTCATAATTAAAAAGCATTTTTTCGAAAATATACTTTGACCCTTAATTCAGTTCTTCTTTCTTTTTACGTGCCATGTCTTTTCAGGATGTAGGCGATCATGGATCTCCACCTCCCTATATCCCTTGCAGCTCTCAACAAGTTGCTTCCCTCTGTCAACGACTTGCTTAAGCCCGCTAGGTATGCCATGCGTTGTTTTCCCTTGTCTCTCTTGCCCTCTATTCGACCCGTGGGTATCATATTCTCCAGGCCCTCCTCTCTCATTATATGTTCCAGAAACTTCATCTGCCTCTTCCTCATGCTAAGCATAAGCCTCCTCCTTGTCTGCATCCTCTGTAAGACCACATCGTTGCTCACACATGCTCGAGCATGTCATGCATTGTCTTTTTCTTGCTTTGTGGAAATCATATTTTCGAAGCCCTCTTTCCTCATTATGTGCCGTAGAAACGTAAACTGTCACTTCCTAATGTTAAGTATGAGTTTCCTTTTTGTTCCCATTTTTTCTAAAACTTCGTTGTTGCTCACATGATCGGTCCATGGTATCCTCAGAATCTTTCAGTAGAACCACATCTCCGTCGCCTCGATTCTCTTCTTCATCCTTGAGGAAATCGTCCAGCATTCGTCGTCGTAAAGAAGGACAGATGCCATGTAACAGTTCAGTGTTCTTTTCTTTGTTACCAAAGAAATCCTCTTGTTTCGCAATACTCTGCCCAACTTTTGGAATGCGTCCTTGGTCATCCCATCTCAGTGTCGCATTTACCGTCTTCTGTCAAAACGCTTCCCAGATATTTAAACTTCCGCGTCTGCTTGATTCTAGTGTTTCCGGTCTGCAAATCACATTTCGGACTCATCTTCATACTGATGATCATGTATTCCGTCTTCATTGAAAATTCTAGATAACATTTCAGACCAAAATTCGGCTAATAACTTTGCCAGGCTATTGACTACTCAATGCCTTTTGTAAGCACCTTAACCATTTTTACTTTGATTTTATATTTATTATGATGCATCATTTACAAGACAGGTGTTTCGGCAATCATTTCTCTTTCTCTATTTTTGTAAATGAAACAGCCATATAAAAATCTCTTGTAATACTCGTTTACTTATCTTTTTTCAGAATCCTCCGATCGATTGATTGATTGATTTTTTACGTCTTATCAACCATTTTGCAGATTATTTAAAGCCAGAAATAGTTTTGGATTAATTTGGGGGGAGAATAATAATTTACTGATACAAGTCTTACTAATTAAACCATAGCTGGGAGGGAGAAGAGGTAGATTCATAGCTTTCCAAACTGTGATTGCGCGTAACGAAGCATACTGGAACTTGGCTCTCCGATTTACAATTCTCAGCATTTTTCATTACACCACCCGCACATCCAAGCTTACTGTACCTGGTATTCCCAAGCGGTCATCCATCTAGCTACTGCCCAAGTTCGACGTTGCTTAACTTCAATGATCGTATGGGGACAGGTGATTTAAAGTAATATGGTCGTAGCCATTTTTAGAACCCTGAGCGAGGTGTTGGCTCGCAGAAGAGGGTAGATGATTTGTGGAGGCAAATCAGACGTGAAAATTGCCTAATGGAAAAATAGTCTGCTACTTACCATAAATAATTCAGATTCTTCAATAAATTAAATGCAATGTCAATAGATATTTTCTGTCTTCCTTAATGCTGTTCTTTCATTGTCCTTTCTCTTCACTAAATGATTCTTATTCTCTTCAACTGACAGTAACCACTTTGGGTCTTAGAAGCATTATCGCCTTGCTTTGGATGAAATGATTAAGAAGAAAAAGAGCGGGAAGAGGGGTTGAACAAATTTCATGAAAGAGGAGCTGAAAGAGACTGTAACAAGAAAGCCTTTAAGAAATGGCTGGAGCCTTACAACATGAACATTGAAGTCGGAAGGTCCTAATTTGAACTGGATAAGAGTTTTCTCCTGAAAAATTCGCAAAACTTCTGGAGTATATGTTGTATAATATATATATATATATATATATATATATATATATACGTGTGTGTGTGTATATGTGTTTGTGTGTGTGTGTGTGTGTGTGTAGAGGTGTTAAAAAAAGATCCACAAAAGTTGTTTGTTTATTTGCTCAGGTTATAAAAAATGGGATGAATAGGCCTTGATTGATAAAGATAAAGATAGATAGATAGATAGATAGATAGATAGATAGATAGATAGACTGAGATAGATAGATAGATAGATAGATAGATAGATAGATAGATAGATAGATAGATAGATATGAACAGACTGAGATAGATAGATATATAGATAGATAGATAGATATGATCAAACAGATAGATAGATAGATAGATAGATAGATAGATAGATAGATATGAACAAACTTAGATAGATAGATAGATAGATAGATAGATAGATAGATAGATAGATAGATAGAACAGATGAGATAGATAGATAGATAGATAGATAGATAGATAGATAGATAGATACAACATTAGATAGATAGATAGATATGAACAGACTGAGATAGATAGATAGATAGATAGATAGATAGATAGATATGAACAGACTGAGATAGATAGATAGATAGATAGATAGATAGATAGATAGATAATGACTTGTTAGATTCGTACTCACAGGGTCTATATCCGGTTTCATCCATCTTATTTTCATCAAAACTCTCATTGTAATATCCAGTGCAAATTACAGGTGACTTTTTGTGAAAATGGTTTTCAGCCATTTGGAATTGGTTTTTTGAAGACTTCATGATGATTCCTTGATAGTTACCGTCGGATCAACAGCTTCTGGGACGAACTCTTTAAGAATACCTGAAACGAGATTTGATAGAAAAAATAATTTATTTCCTCAATCAATTGAACACTTTCTTTCTACAGATTATTCTTGTGGTATCATGTTATCAAACAAGTTTGTTTTTCGATTTGTTTTACAGAGGCCAGTCAATTTGATGTTTGAATTGTTATAAGGTTTGCAAATGCAAAATTTACTTTACAGGATTCGGTAACCCAAAGAAGAATGTGCAATGTTATCGGACCTAACCAGGCATCTCGGCTTCATTCACTACCCCGCCGTGGCTTTCCTGATGCTTTTCAATAAATGTTTTCTTGGCAATTTTCCTGATGTGCTTTTTTTCTTTGATAGCTTCAGGAATTTAAGCGTAGCTAACTCTTATCAATTTGCTGTTGAAATGACTAAATGTAACCGTATGTTCTACACAAATAAATTTTTCTCTCGCCTTTTTCGCCTATGGAACTCTCTTCCGGCGATTTGAGTTCCTGTCAAATACGATTTTAAAAAATTGAAATGTAACGTCAATCGTCATCTCTCTCCTTAATTCCTGTACTTTTATTGTCCTTTCTCCTCAACGTTTCTTTTATACTTAGTAACTCATTGCATCTCAGTGGCTTTATCGCCTTATTTGGGTGGGGGTGAAATAATTTTTAAAAAAATATAATAATCTGTTCCTGGTTAGTAAATTATAACCTTCTGTTGAGCAAATTATGAACTATTGCAATAGTTTTTGTTTTTGTTTTTTTTACTACATGACCCAAAAGCCACTCATGGTAGAGTGTTGCCAAGTGAGTCTGTTGTATGGACGCATGATATCGAAGGTGGTAGTAAGTTTAGATACATAGGCACGTGGCCGAGTGGTTAGCTTTCTAACCATGAGACCCGGGTTCGAGTTTCACAATGATCGATTGGTGCGGAAGGTGACTTCTTGAGTTGGCGATCCCAGCGTGCGGCACCTTTGGGAAATGCCTGAAAACAATACCGCGTGTTGACCCAAGCGAGTGAACGTGAGTGGAATTGGGTAGACGGTACCCTTGGGAGCCGTTGGTGGTGGTACTAGCACGAAGTCACAAGTCATCACAAGTTTTGAGCTTACTAGCCTCGTTCAGTCTGTTGATCACGCTAGATAACGTGCTCTCTCCCAGAAAGTGCAGCTAAAGTCCGCTCTATAAAGGTAAACTCTGTGGGTGTTGAACAAACACAATTGTGCCTGCAATGAGGATTAGCTACCCCCCCCCAGTAGACTGTCATCCTTAATTTGAGCGGTTGTGCCATTTACGTTTTATAAGTTTAGATTATAAGGATACGTAAAAGTTAACCCTAGACATGAAGAGATTAAAATTGTATTGGTTGAGGAAGCACCCTCTCGGGAGTCTGTTCTTCGGAAGAAACTATCAGAATAAAGGGTGTGAGGATGGTCCGCCCCTGTATGCATGTATGGCGAACCTGAGCTGTAAATGTCTGTCTAGATAAACTAAAATGGGTTTGCGTGGGGCTTTATATTGAAGACAATGATACTAAACTTTAATTGTTATGATAGCCAACCCAGTTGTGCGTTAATCTTCTTTATGTGATATGAACCCTCAGGATGTAGGCGATCAAGGCCCTCCACAATTTCCTGTCTTTTGTAGCTCTTAATAAATTTTGTCTTTTCGTTATTTCTCCTAAACTTTGTTCCGCCATCTGTTTACTCAAGCTTATCAAATATGTTATCCGTTGTTTTCTTCTTTTCATCTTGCCCTCAATCTGTCCTGTGAGTATCAGATTTTCCAAGCCCTCTGTTCTCTTTATGGGTTTTGGAAATTTCAACTGTCTCTTCATGATGTTAATTATAAGTTTCCTTTTTGCTTCCATTTTCTCTAAAAACTTCGTCGTTGTTCATATGTTCGGTCCATAGTATCCTCATCATCATTCTATAGAACTACATTAGGTCACCAATACAAATAATTTCTATAATACTGTGGAAAATGTTAAGAAAATATTTGAGAGAAAACAATGGGAAATTGCATCGTTTACTCAGGTATGCGATTTTGTTGTTTCGGTTAGACTATTCGATATTATTGTTAGTTGTTTCATTTTCTTCTTGCATTTGCTTGTGCCTGGTTGTCATTTATTAAAAATGAAAGATTACTTCATGTTACTGAAACATTTTGACCAGAACATCTATCAGGTCATCCCATAAGTTCTCTCCGAATTTTAACATTTTGCTAAAATGAACGAAATTTAAAGAGTATTTTATAATGTCTAATGGAGCTGAACATTATTTTTATGTTGAGATGCATTTAAACTAATAAATTTAAATTATGTTTGATTAAAACCCTGCTAACATGGAAGTACCCAAGAATCATTTGAGGCACATAATGCTTTATGAGTTCAAGAAAGGAAACTCAGCAGCCGAAGCGGCTAGAAACATTCACTTAGTTTATGGAGAGGAATGTGTGAATGAAAGATCTTGCAGAAGATGGTTTGCAAAATTCAGAGGTGGAGATTTCACCCTTGAAGATGAAGATCAAACCGGACGTCCAGTTGAGTTTGATGAAAAGCTTCTTAAAACGGGCCCTTGAAGAAAATCCTGCTTTATCAGTTGAGGAATTGGCAGTGGTTCTCAGTTCAAACCATACAACTGTTCATCGTCATCTTCAACAACTTGGAAAAGTTCCTAAACTTGGAATATGGGTGTCTCATGAATTGTCTGAAAACAACCTCAAATCCAGAGTTGACATCTGCTCTTCTCTCCATTCTCGCCAACTTGTTTCACCTTTTTTGGATAGACTTGTGACTGGCGACGAAAAATGGATCTTTTATCGAAATGTTAAGCGTCATAGACAGTGGCTTGGTAAAAGGGAAGGACCCCAGCCACAGCCGAGAAGGGAACTTCATGGGCAAAAGGTTCTTCTTTCAATCTGGTGGGATCGCCAAGGAATAATCAACTTTGAATTCTTACCACCTAATGCAACAATTAATGCTCAAATATACTGTCAGCAATTAGAGCGTTTGAACCAAACTTTGAGGAAAAAAAGACCTGCTCTAGTGAATCGAAAACAGGTGATGTTTCATCAGGACAATGCGCGACCCCACACAGCAAGAATCACGTCACAAATGATCGAAGAACTTGGTTGGGAGAAAATTCCTCATCCACCTTATTCTCCCCATCTTGCTCCTTCAGACTACCATTTGTTTCGTAGCTTACAAAATCATTTGGAAGAAACAGCTTTTGTAACACAGGAAGAGGTTAAAACTGACATTTGTGAGTTTTTCGAATCAAAGCCAAAAGAATTTTACAGTAATGGAATTAGTAAGCTTGTTAATAGATGGAAGGAAGTCATAGATAATCAGGGAAAATACATTGTTGATTGAATCTGCAATTAAATGTAATATTTGGTCACTTGTTTTCTTTATTCAAAATTCGGACAAAATTTATGGGATGACCTGATATGAAAAAATGGTATCATATTACTATAACAAAACCATTCACGTTAAAATCAACTAAAAGGGCAAATGTTCAATTTGTGTAAAGTTTAAATAGTATATTAAACAAAATTTGGGCATCTCGGTGTGATATAATAGTTAGCAAACTTGTCTCACTAGAACAATTACGACTGAATAGTGAGATTGATCCTCACTGGGTGCCCCATACAGTTGGCCTTGCGTTGCATCTAAGCTACACTTAAAAATCACCATATATTAAATAAAATTAAATATTTAATTTTTCTGGTA